AAGATTATCAAAATTTATTTCTAAGAGTTGTCAGCATCTGATTTTTTTTCCCAAAACTTTCGGACCATACGTTATTATGAAATGATAAACGACTGTATCAAGAATAATATCAATACATGGAACGATTAATATAAAATATACAGGGTGTCTCGAAAGTACATAGAAAGATTTCAACCACGGATTCTAGGAAAAAATAGTGGAATAAGTTAATTTAAACATGAGCCCATCAGAAATGCCCCACTGGGGAGTTATGAGATGAGGTAACTCATCTCACCACAAAGGGTTTCTGAAATATTTACAAAAAACCATCATTTTTGGCTCTCTTTCATGTGGCTATAACTCTCCAGGGGTCAATTTCTGGGCTTATGTTTATATATACACATTTTTTTTACCATTTTTGTTCCAAGAATCTGTGCTTGGAATATTTCTATGTAATTTCGGGACACCCTGTATATGTGGCGTCAATTCGAAGACAAGGGTGCAAAACCCCGTTTTTCGTGTTTTTCAGAAAAAAATACGTGATACCAAGAAGAATTTTTGGAAAAATTTCAATCGCACAATGAGTTCGAATTTACTCAAACTTTTTTCAGTAAAATATAGTGTACGGCATCTGATGTGATGACATATTTGACAAAAATTCCCCTCGTATTTCCGCACACGTTTGTCTACGCCTATAATAGTTATTTATACAACAAGGTAGTAAAGTAGTAAAGAATATCATCATAACTCATGGACCAAGATTATATCCCGAGGTTCAGCCGAAGGGTATAAGGTCCCGTGGTAATAATATTCTTCACTACACCAAGGTATATATTGAACTTTTTCACCACTATAGCGATATATTTCAATCATTTCAGTTTTGTGAAACCAAAATATGGACCAATTGTCACTATGAAAGCACTTAATTTCAATTCTTAGCCATGACCATGACAGCATTTGATACCTTGAATCATTCCTTGTTAATTTCATTGGATTCTCTGAGAATGCGATCGAATTAATGAGGAATTATCTAACAAACAGACTTCAATTTGTAGAAACCAGCAAAGGTGTTTCAACGAAACAACTTTCAGTATGCGGAGTTCCTCTAGGTTCAATACTTGGCCCTCTTTTGTTTGGTATATACACATGTAATTTAACAACGTGCCTGATGCATTGTTCTGTTCATTCATATGCAGACGACACACAATTATATTTGTCTTTTTTCCCAAGCGATAAACAACTAGCTCAAGATAAAATTAACTCTGATTTAAATCGATTAATCGCATTTTCAGATAACCATAATTTACAATTGAATGCATCAAAGTCATCAGTATTAATATTCGGTAGACAAGAGCAGTTGGTAGAATCGGTGTTCAGTGTTAAAATTCAAGATAATTCTTTGCAGTGCTCCAAAAATTCGAGAAATCTTGGTCTCGAATTTGATACTGATTTACGTTTCAAGCCGCACGTTAATAAATGTATCCAACGAGAGTATGGTAGCTTGAAAATGTTGTACCCTAATCGCCATTTGTTGTCAGAGTCATTGAAAATAAAATTAGCAGATTCACTGGTGCTGAGCCACTTTAATTACTGCGATGCTGTATATGGACCGTGTATAGATAAGAAAGATAGTGAAAGAATCCAGAAAGTTCAAAAATCGTGCTTAAGATTCATCTACGGCATTCGCAAATATGAAAGTATCTCCTTCAAATTGAAGGAAACCCAGTGGTTGAGCATGGAAGAAAGACGTAAAATCCATGCAGTGAATTTATTCCATAATATTATATTCTATAAATGCCCTCCTTATTTATGTAATAAAATAAAATACAGAACTGATGTACATACGTTGAATTTAAGATTCAAAAGTTATATTTTCCCCCACCTCATCAAACACATTTTTTCCAACGATCAGTCACTTATAATATATTTGAATCATTTAATGAGCTGCCATATGAAATGAAATCTTTGAAACCGGATACTTCCAAAAAATCATACAAGAATCTCGTCATGAAATACTGAACTATATACATGAATTATAAACTGATTTTCAATCTTCAACAGCCAACTTGGTAACATTTACATTGCGGAAATATTTTATTTTTTCAAATTATATAATTCCAGGGGTTGAACTAGGATCAATTTTAATTGTTTTCAACCCCTTTTTGCAACTAATATTGATTATCTGATTTATAAAATGTATTATGCATATTTATAGTCGTCATTGATATAAATACCTACTAGATAGGCCAGTCATTGGGGATTTTTACCTGGAAAAAAGTCCGGAAGTTTTGAAACTTTGTAGGATTATAGTTTTGGGTGTCCAGAACTAAAATTCACAAAATGCACATTCCGGGACATGCCGCCGGCGCCGCCATCTTGCCAAGATGGCGCTCAAAAACGGTTTTTTGAAAATGTCTCCAAAACGGTGCGTTTTTAGAAAAAATATGAAGATACAAAAATTTAAGACGAAGAAATTTTCTACAAGAAATGTTCCCAGTATATTTTTGCTGAAGTGAGCCGTTTAGGCCCAAGAGCTGATTGAATGACATCATATTCTGATAATTTCAATTAACTGCCCCTAACTATCTCCAAATATGCGTATAAATTCATCTTTTATGATGAAACGGGCTATCTGATTGGTTTCTCGTTATATTTGTAGCTTGCTGACAGAGGATATTTCCTATAAAATATGTTCTAAGAATATTCTCGCTAAAGTACCCTCGTTAAGGCACAAGTGCCCTTACCAAATTACAAATGTTGCGTAAGTTTTCTGTAGTGGCGAGTTCCGGAAGTAATATGTGTATTAGGGGTCCCCAAATCTGATATTTAACGACATCAAAAATATTTATCACGAAACGGTGGATATCCATTATTCAATTAATCGATGAATTCATCAATTAATCCATGTTAATAATGTATGATCAATCAATTTCGATTTTAAATGCTGTATTTGTTTCCACACCACCCAAGAGGCTAAGTACACGGCGCGTTTTTTTTTAACGTGGTTTCCCCTGTAGTCCTAATACACTCAGGTACTGAAATTATTTTTGGCAAAGGCCAGACGGACCTGGCTCGTTGATTTCGATATATTCAACGGGGAAACTGGTTACCTCAGCTCCAGAATCGATGTTAATTTCCTTCAACTCGTTGGATTCTTCTTCTGCAGTCGATAAAGAATCATCATGCAGCGAATGGAGGTCTTCTTCATCGGATTCGTCCAGTGTCACTTGGCTGATATTTTCACAAGTTTTCCCGAAATCATCGAACATCGCAATCCTGCTTTCCTGCATCTGCAGGCTCTACCACAAGCCGCCTTGCACTTACAAGATAAAAAAGCAAGTAGTGCTTTGGAAGCAGGATCTTTCAAAGTAGTTATTGGAGTGAGGCCAGTTTGAGTTTTCTTCCAACCCCATTATTCAACTACTTTCGGACAACCACGCCATAGTTGAACCTGATAGTACGTTCTCAACGAATGCTGTCGTGCAGCTGCGCTTGTCGGTGGTAAAGATGCCAAATTGAATTTACTTTTTGTTACCGACTTCACGAAACACTGGTATCGATATTTATCAAGATTGGTGTAATTTGTGTCTTTGAATCCATAGAGTGCAAGGAAAAATTTCTCACCGGCAAAGGCAACTTGATCAGGGGTGGCATGTTCATTTTTGAAAACTTTAATATGATCTTGTAACTCTTCATGTTTTTTTAATGTTGTTAGAAACTTCATTTTTCCTTGGTTAAATACGGTCTCGCAATTTTTTCATGTCCGTTTTTCTCGTAAAATTACTGATTGGCAAATTGTGTTCGTTAGGAAAGGTAATTTAGTTGATGAAAAAGTTCACTTTAATATGATCTTGTAACTCTTTATGTTTTTCTAATGTTGTTAAAAACTTCATTTTTCCTTGGTTAAATACGGTCTCGCAATTTTTTCATGTCCGTTTTTCTCGTAAAATTACTGATTGGCAAATTGTGTTCGTTAGGAAAGGTAATTTAGTTGATGAAAAAGTTCTTGTGTTTTTACCGTTTATGAAAATATCTCATCTGAAATATATATTTTGTGTATTTACTCATATTGGGATGGAGTGGTAAAGACAAAAAAGCAAAATTTCAAATTTCTATGAATTTATGGGCGGTTTTACAGTACGAGAAGGTACCTATATCTACGGATACATAGTATAGGTACGAAATTCACTCATAAAACCATCCTGCACCCACATACTTCTGGAGCAAAGTCGCCAGATTCGTCGATAATGCAATTTTTATATCGCCCAAATAATCGCAAGTCACAAATGCAAAATTTTTGTCGCATAATTGATCTAAAAATCGTTCAATATAACGAGGAACAAATTGAATAGCCCGTTTTATAATAAAATATGAATTTATACGCATATATGGACATAGTTAGCGGCAGTTTATAGAAATTAACAGAATATGTTGTCATTCAATCAGCTCTTGAGCCTAAACGGCTCTCTTTAGCAGAAATATGCTCGGAACATTTCTTGTAGAAAATTTCTTCATCTTGAATTTTTATGTCCTCATATTTTTTCAAAAAACGCACCGTTTTGGAGATATTTTCAAAAAACCGTTTTTGAGCGCCATCTTGGCAAGATGGCGGCGCCGGCGGCATGTCCCGGAATGTGCATTTTGTGAATTTTAGTTCTGGACACCCAAAACTATAATCCTTCAAAGTTTCAAAACTTCCGGACTTTTTTCCAGGTAAGCCTTATTTTGGATCCCCAATGACTGAACTAAGATTCCAGTGCCATTCCTGCGAATATGTGATCAGAACAGTGCATTCGGGTTAATTACAACAGATGTGGCTATGTCTTCATGGACTAGTGGTCTCGCTAGTGGTTCATAAGATGATGAAAACTACTTTGGTAGTAGAAACACACTTTACGCCTCGAAAAAGAGTAAATGAGGGTATGTTTCATAGCTAGTGGTGAAAAAACATCTACTATAGCAGCATGTTATCGAATTTCCATCACCCACTATAGAGGATATTTAGCGATTCTGTCAATATCAATCAATCAAGTGCCAAAGTAAAATATCAATACTTGAGAATCGCTTCAGTATAAAATCATCACAATGGCTATTCCTAAAACGGATAAGAGAATAAAGGATATAATGACAGCAGACGAAATGTGGAAAGTTTTTATCCGATCCGAAGATGATTCTGGAAAAATCTGGAAGTATAATTGGGGATGGATCTTGCAAGAATACGAGTAAGAACCAAGAGATATTATTCTCCAACTGCCTTTGATAACAATATGGTAGATTTATGTAGCGTCAATTGCCTATATGCTTGAATCCATATAACTGAAATGTACTGGTAGCAAAATCTGAATGAATAACTTTTTATGCACGACCGGGCGTAAAGTATCACTTTACCGCCCGGTTTTGCGGGCGTGAAGAGGCACTTTCCGCTCGCGGACTTCTTCACCTGCTGGCGTATAAATAACTCGTAATATAGTCATTCCTGTATAATTCAGGGCATTATGTCGCAGTTGTGATGGTTCCTTATCTAATTTTACAGTTCTCTTGATATTTCTGAGATGCTAAATGATATGATCGAACCACTGGGATGACATTAATTGACAGCGAATATAACAGTCCACTTCTATTTAAAAAATTGACTGAGTCACCATATCACACGTTGCGAGAACAATAGTGTGACAAGTCAAAATAGTTGATTTTTGAGTTAGAACCACCGTCGGATAGCAAATTTCGAGCTCTACACTTCTACACCATTTTCAATTGTAATTCAGAAAGTAAAAGATGTAATTCAGAAAGTATAAGTTGTTATTCAGAATAGTTAATTGTAATTCAGAAAGCGTAATATGTAATTCAGATTAGTGGACTGTTATTCAGAAAGTGTAACTGGTAATTCAGAATACTGAAATGTAATTCAGAAACCGTCAATTGTAATTCAGAAAGCATAACTTGTAATTCAGAAAGTATCACTTATGATTCAGAAACTAGGGACAACCCGTATGCATCCATTCTCCTTGAGACTTTAACGTTAATCAAGTTACCAACAATCAAAGCCATGTTGTCATGGAAAGTAACTCGAAATATCAAGTAAATGTCAAATAAATTGCACAACACACCACCATTCACCATGCTGCAGCTCTGGAATTTCAAGATATGCCCGTTGGTCGATAAATATAAGATGTTCACCACACAAACCATTCGTTGATTTCTATTCCCTACCCTTATTTGAGTCCATAGTGTTTATGAATTACAAGTGATGCTTTCTGAATTACAAATTTCGCTTTATGAATTACAAAATGACTATTCTGAATTACAAGTTACACTTTCTGAATTACATTTCACTAATCTGAATTACATGTTATGCATTCTGAATCACAATTGACTAATCTGAATTACAATTGACGCATTCTGAATTACAATTAACGAATGGTTTGTGTGGTGAACATCTTATATTTATCGACCAACGGGCATAATATCTTGAAATTCCAGAGCTACAGCATGGTGAATGGTGGTGTGTTGTGCAATTTATTTGACATTTACTTGATATTTCGAGTTACTTTCCATGACAACATGGCTTTGATTGTTGGTAACTTGATTAACGTTAAAGTCTCAAGGAGAATGGATGCATACGGGTTGTTCCTAGTTTCTGAATCATATGTGATACTTTCTGAATTACAAGTTATGCTTTCTGAATTACAATTGACGGTTTCTGAATTACAAATTACACTTTCTGACTTACATTTTACTAATCTGAATTACAAGTTACACTTTCTGAATTACAGTTGAAAAAGGTGTAGAATATCGTGACATCTCTAGGTCCAATAGCTCCGCTGCGTGACATCGCTGGTCACGTTATTGCACTAGAGGAGAAGTATCTACAGTCACCTAAACTTCGTAGGATACGCCTCGTATTCTGACTTTCAGGAAATTTGTATGATCAATAATGTGACAAGTCATTAAGTCACCTTATTGATTAAACACAATTTGATTTCTGTTTTGAGTTGTCACGATATTACATTTATATCATTAAATGAAATAATGAATCAAATGCAACAAATTTTTTGAGTTGTAATGTTAACAATATGGAATATTTCGATTTGTCACATTATTGCATGCGCTGCACTTAATTAAATCGAGAAGGTAATACGAGCTTTCGCAGAAAGATTGAAATAATAGCAAAACGTATGTAATTTAAATATTTCTCTTTGCATGAAATATCAAGCTCCACCTTATGTTTAAATTCCAATTTTGATAAATATAATTCCTTTGGATTAAACATTTGCAAGGATTTGTGTTTGAAAGAATTTAAATTTAAATTTCATTCATTATAGGAATCTCCTTCTTTCAGAAAATTTATCTATACCTCATTTTTTGTGCCTATAGTCACTTATCTTCCCAAACTTTATGCGAATTTTCAATGAAACCTATTATTGCTATTCAACTCAAAATTTGTCTTCTGCAAATATTCGTTCGTTTCTATTCATGCAGAAACTAAAGAAAATAGAAAAACTGCCAAAACAGGAATGTTCAGCAACCAAAGGGCACGATTTGGATTTTGCTGAAATGATAGGAACTCAGAGCACATCTTCAATAAATCCAGTCATGGATATAATGGGGTCTACAAATGAATAAAAATACCTATAATACATGTTATAGGGCAATTTTTGGAGATGAAACATCTCAGAAAATTGCTTTTTTCAGACGTGACCCAACTAGCATTTTCAGTCACAGGCACCATGGTTCAAGAAACTATTACCTATATTTAGTGATAATAACATATTTATCACTTATTTCAGAACTTCATAGTATAAATGTCAGTGATATTTATTTAGTGAGTGAAAATTACGTAGTTTTTACACTAGATAATAACTTCAAAGTGAGAAATTCTCATGGCTTATTACGAAGTAACTATTTCGAAACTGTCACTCCTCAAAACTACTCTTAAGGTTTCGGAACTTTGGATATATTATTACGGTAACGCTTACCACCCCAAGAAGGCTTCACAGTTGCAATTACTCTATGGTCACCAATTAGGTTTCTACGACGTTGTCGTTACTTGATCGATCACCTAATAATTTAGTCAATTCTTGGTGATATTTCAAGTAACATATTGGTAATTCCTACTCAAACAATTCCTTCATAGTTGAAACAACTTTTCGGTAATTATATTCAGTTGAAGTTACCAATACATAGTGTTGGATCTGGAGCTGATCACTTTGTATATTATGTCGTTGTCATGATTATTTATTATTGATACAATTGAATTGATTTTGAATTTTTGATATTGTCAATCAAGTTTTGAGTAATAAATCTTTTAAGCTACAAAACACCTAATTACGCTCTCCTCGTATCTACATTCATTTGCTACATTATTTGGCGACCGTGACAGGACTGCAGAATGTGTGATTTCGAGATACTGAACAAAGAACGAGCTTTCTTGAGACAGGTGTTTCGGAAGATTATTACAAATTTGGAAATAGTCTTGAGTGAAAAATCGATCCAGAAAGAAGAGATTGCCGTACTTCTTGACCAACTAGAAGACAAAGCTAAAAGAATATCAATTTTGGATGAAAATATCGCCGAAGAACTCATGAAGAAAAAGATAAGCGATGAAGAATTCGAAGATGAATGGGAATCTGTTGAACTATATAGAAATGAACTGATCAGATTCAAGGCAAAGGGATATTATACACTCAATAACCATTCAAAGTCAACCGATGTCATGAGTGTCAGTGGAGAGTCAAGTACAAAGAGAAATTTTCGACTCCCAAGAATAGAACTGAAGAAATTCAATGGTGATGTACGTAACTGGATCGGATTCTGGGGCCAATTCAAAAAGATCGACGAAGACGAGACCATAGATAATGAAGATAAGTTCCAGTACATGCTTCAAGCAATGGAAGAAGGGTCACAGGCTAGGAGTTTAGTTGAAAGCTTTCCACCATCTGGAGAAAATTATGTGAAGGCTTTGAACCAGCTCAAGAACAGGTTTGCTAGGGACGAATTTCTGATAGAAGTCTATGTTCGAGAACTTCTAAATCTTGTCTTAAAACAATCGTCTAACAATAAAACAGGTATGTCTCTTTCCCGATTATTCGATCAATTAGAAACTCAATTAAGAGCACTCGAAACTTTAGGAGTTACTAGTGACAAATACGCAGCCATGTTATTTCCGTTAGTAGAGTCAGTTCTTCCTGAAGATATTTTGCGAGTGTGGGAGAGACATCGCAGCTCTTTTTTGAAATCATCACAAGGCAGCAAGGATTCGACTAATCACCTTAATATGTTGTTAGATTTTCTGAAAACCGAGGTCGAAAGTGAAGAGAGAATTAACCTAGCACAAAAGAGTTTCACGTCGGCCAGAGAGAACAGTAAGGTACACAGCACAAGTAAATCCATCAGGAATCAGCGAGGTGAGGACAATGAACAAAGTATGAGTACAGCCGCTACTATTTTTTCATCTGATAAGATGTTGAGAGATGGTAAGAGACCTAATTTCTCATGTATTTTTTGTAACAATACACATTCAAGTCAGGACTGCATGAAGGCACAAAAATTAACTTACGAAGAAAAAAGAGATTTGGTATTCAAGAAAAACTGTTGTTTGGGATGTCTCAGACCAAATCATAATATAAAGAAGTGCAGAATCTATGTTAAATGTTTAATTTGTGGCAGAAAACACTTTCCAATCATGTGTCCCGACTTATATGTAAATAAATCTGTTGAAAAAATCAGTGAAACTCATGAAATGAATAAGCGTGGCATTGATAAAGGAAATAGGAGTGATGTAGAAAATGTTCTGACTACCAATGTTACTCACAGACAAACAGAAACTTTACTACAGACTTTGGTTGTTCGACTTATTCAAGATAATGAAACAAAGATAGTGAGAGCATTATTAGATTCAGGTTCCAGAGGATGAATTTAATAAAGTTGCTCATTATCTACCACATCATGCTGTCATCAAGGAAGCGAGTGCTACAACTAAAATAAGGCCTGTCTTTGATGCATCCGCGAATGATAGGAGAGGGAATTCTTTAAATAGTTGTCTTGACAAAGGGCCCAATCTCATAGAAATAATTCCGTATATTTTGTTACAATTCAGGATTGGCGCTATTGGAGTGATTGCTGATATCAAGAAGGCCTTCCTGCAAATTAGTCTAAATGTCGAAGATAGAGATTTCCTCAGATTTTTTTGGTGGAAAGATTACACGACCAAACAACTGAAAATTTTTAGGCACTGCAGAGTGGTATTTGGTGTATCATCCAGTCCATTTTTGTTGGCAGCGACAATTTCTCATCATTTGAGAAATGTTCCAGAACACTTGATGGCAACTGCAGATAAATTGAATTCATCGTTTTACGTAGATAATTCCGTTACGAGCGTAGACAGTATTTCTGAGTTGAAGAAGTTCATCGAAGAATCTGAAATTATCATGTCGTCTGCTCAATTCGATTTGAGGGGATGGATCCACTCTTTTGGTGAGGGAAATTCTGATATCACTTGTACAAACGATATAGCTCCTGTTTTGGGACTTTCATGGAATTTCAAAGAAGATACACTCTTTTGCAATATTCACGATCTGGATAATTTGAAACAAATACCAATTACAAGAAGAGGTTTACTTTCTGTTGCTCAGAAGTTATTTGATCCTATTGGTTTTTTATGCCCAGTGACTCTGATCCCAAAATTACTGCTGCAGAAGACGTGGACATTGAATCTTGGCTGGGATAAAGAGTTGCCTGAGGAAATCGTTAAACAATTCGAGAATTGGGTAAGACAAATATCATGGCTCAGTCTCTGTGTAATTCCAAGGCCTTTAGCACAATTTTCGTTGCAGATGTCAGAAAATTCATTGCACGTATTCTGCGATGCGAGTAAGACAGCATATGCTGCTTGTATATTTTTACGAGCTAAATTCAATGATACAGTATGTGTACAACTTCTTCAGGCAAAATCTAGAGTTGCACCAATGAAAAACCTGACAATTCCACGACTGGAGTTGTTAGCAGCCCTTATCAGTGTGAGATTACATCAGAGTATGAAAAAGTTGAAAATGTTTGAACGAATGAAAACTTTCTTTTGGTCTGATTCTATGGTTGTTCTCACGTGGATAAAAAGCAAGGGTGATTGGAATACTTTTGTTGATAATAGGGTTCGAGAAATTCTTTCTGCTAGTGACCCTGACGACTGGTTTCACGTTCCTGGGAATTTAAATGCTGCAGACCTTCCATCTAGGGGATGCCATGCAAAGTTATTAGTTGAGAACAAATGGTGGGAGGGTCCTCCATGGCTAAAACATGAACAAGAGTTATGGCCAAAATCAGAAATAATATTATCAACAGAAGAAGTGAGAAAACGATCAATTGTAACAGTAGCTCAAGAGAAACAAAGATTCAGTACGAGGTTAAACTATTTTTCTAAATATTCGAAAATATACCGAATGATAGCGTGGATATTTAGATTCAGATTCAATGTAAATAACAAAAATGACAGAATCAACGGGGAACTGACATATTCTGAAGTGGAAAAGGCAGAAATAACTTTGATAAAAATAATACAGGAAGATAGTTTTTCGAAGAAAGATATAAAGGTTACGAAGGAATTACAAATATTCAAAGATGATAGTGGTTTATTGAGAGTTAAAACAAAACTATTTTACTTAAATGACTCGCCAGAATTCAAGTTTCCTATATTATTACCATTTGACCATGAAGTTGTTTTCAAATTAATTTTCGAACAGCATTTGCTATCTTCTCATGCAGGAGTGAAAACTCTTCTTAGTATTCTGAGGGAAAGATTCTGGATACTGAGAGGCCGAAAAACTATAAAACAGGTTTTAGCGAAATGTATTGTGTGCAAAAGATATACTCAAAAATCATACGACACACCTTTCGCACCACTGCCAAAGGATAGAGTGAATGATGCAGCTGCTTTCGAAATTACAGGAGTTGACTATGCTGGGCCGTTGTTTTTGAAAGGAGGAGGAAAAGCTTGGGTAGTAATATTCACTTGTGCTGTGTACAGGGCTGTCCACTTTGAACTAGCTATTTCCTTGTCAACGGAGGAATTCATTCGGACATTAAGGAGATTCATAGCCAGAAGAGGAAGAGTATCGACAATTTATTCCGACAATGGTACAAATTTGGTTGGAACAAATAATCATGACATCTGCAACGAAAATTGTGCTAAAGGCCTTGGAATTACACAGAGACTGAGCCATGATATTTGTCTTACCCAATTCTCGAATTGTTTAACGATTTCCTCAGGCAACTCTTTATCCCAGCCAAGATTCAATGTCCACGTCTTCTGCAGCAGTAATTTTGGGATCAGAGTCACTGGGCATAAAAAACCAATAGGATCAAATAATCATCTGAAAAACATTAACTGGGACGAAATTCAAAAATATTCCGAGGTAAGGAAACTACGATGGATATTCAACGCACCCACAGCTGCCTGGTGGGGAGGATGGTGGGAGCGAATTGTAAGGATGGTGAAAGAGTTACTCAGGAGAAATTTAGGAAAGTCAATTGTCAGTTACGAAGAACTATCGACAGTACTATGCGACTGCGAGGCAACAATCAATTCGAGACCGTTAACCTATATTTCAGATGATGACGATATGATACCTTTGACCCCATTATATTTTATACAAAGCATTCCCAGTAATGAAGTACCTGATTTGGACCTGATTGAAAGAAACCATCTGCTGAAGAGACACAGATATTTACAAAGAATCAGAGACAATTTTAGAGTTCGTTTCAGGAAGGAGTACCTAGCAAACCTGGTGAATCGAGGAACCAAGAATGTGACAAATATTCGGGCAGGTGACATTGTTCTTCTAGAAGTAGACCACATGAAAAGAGTTACCTGGCCCCTAGCGAAGATCATGGAACTATACCCTGGAAAGGACAACATTTCAAGAGTAGCCAGAGTAAAAGTAGGAGGAAAGAAAGAATTAATTAGACCACTACAGAGATTATTTCCACTTGAAGTATCGTCACAAGAAGTTGGAGAAAATCAATTGGGAAAAGCGAATACCGAAGAGAAGAATATGGACGAGAAGAATATGGACGAGAAGAAGACGAATAAGAGAGGGAAGAAACAAATCCAAAAAAGAAGACATCTTGAAACTATAAATGAGGATGAAGAGATAGTAGAGATTCCTACTATCACGACAAGGCATGGACGTACAGTGAAGACCCCGGACCGTTTCAAATTTTGAGTTAGTTTTGCAATTCACATTGCAAAAGGTGGGAGGATGTTGGATCTGGAGCTGATCACTTTGTATATTATGTCGTTGTCATGATTATTTATTATTGATACAATTGAATTGATTTTGAATTTTTGATATTGTCAATCAAGTTTTGAGTAATAAATCTTTTAAGCTACAAAACACCTAATTACGCTCTCCTCGTATCTACATTCATTTGCTACACATAGGTTATCATAACTGACGAGTTCCAAAAGTAACTTTCTGATTCATTTTCGATTGGAAGCCATATTGATTGATGTGATAACCATTTGAACAGGAAATAATTTTGGTTTTTCTTGTTGATAAACATCGTTTTATGAAGAATAATAGCATTCGTTCGATCACAAATTGCATAATAATGGAAATTAACATGATTTACGATGATTTTTGAAAAATAGCCGAATGAAATAAAACCATATTTTTGGTGAAATGAGCCGTATTTTGTGGGCGCATCTTGAATTTCGAGGCAAAATCATCACATTTATCGAAAAACTGAATGTTGTTCGAATTTTTCAAGTTCGAGTATCAATTATTTCGCGTATTTGTCCTTGTATTATTTATTGAATGGTTAGGCATATTGGACTTGTTCATTTTTCGTGAATGTGAACTTCATGGATGAAATGAAGAATAATAAAGAGAGAAAATAATATTTTTATGAAGTGGAAAAGAAATAGAAAGTCAGGTAGGAAAATTTACTACATCTTTACGTAATTTCGACGTCGACGGGTCGTAAGCATTACGTAATTGTGTGAGTTCCCGCTACGTCGGCAAACCGTAATAATTACTCGTGATTTGTTCCCCATTTTGGTCGTAAATACGTAGTAACGACGTAATTATAACGTAACCGCAACTAGTAAATATTACTTAATAGTCGACCCAATAGTCGTAATTACGTAATCGCGACTATAAATGCTAGTTGGGGACATCCCTAAAAATTGTCGAATATGATGAATCAAAACTGTAACATGTCGAAACTTTTTCTTGAAAAATTGGAAAAAAAAAATTCGTAAATATAACTGAAAATTTCACATGTAAGCTTATATGACAATGATATAATTTAAACTAAATATACTTTTCGCGGTGAATGAGGTTCATCAGAGACAAACTCATCATAATTAAGAAATGAACATTTTCAAAGTCGATTTTCTCAAAACGAAGAATTTGAATTGTACTGCAGCAAGAGGTATATTCACAATGAAAAATCAAATATACCGGTCTTGCATAAAATGTTGTATGTATTTCGGGCGTAACTTGCTTTTATGGACCTAGACGTGTAACTTACACGCTGTGGTCCATAAAAGTCTATTCTACGCGCTTGATACCTGAATAACTATTATTATACTTCAAAAAATACAATTTGAATACTCTACAATTGCATATATCCTTCAAACATGGCGTTCGGGCGGCAAACTTGTTTCTCCAGTACTGATGATTACCCCTTTTCCAGTGTTGCCTATAGCTGTTTCATCTAAAAGTAATATCAAGTAAACTCCCTGTATCTCGAAAACTACCATTCTGAAAAAAATTCGTGAAAATTATTTTCTATTCTTTCTGCGAAGAATCTACCTTCAGTTGATTTTATAACATTGATGAATATCTCGATACTAAGTTTTTTTGTACAGAGACCTGAAGAAAAAGATGGACGAAAAAACCGCAACATCTGAACTTCTGAAAAGAGTAACCAAAAAACGAGAAGACGATGATAGAAAACTGGGTACTTTTCCACAAACTTTCAATCATCGGTATGGATGGATAGCTGAAAAAAAGGATTTCCAGTTGGAGATATATGGGCCAGATTTTTTCAAACCTATACCTCTGCCGGATATATACAAAGTTCCGAAGCACTGAAGTATTTTTTCAATGATCTATATGAATCGAAACTGGATCAGTTATTAATGAATATACCGAGTGCCAACAAATTCAATAGACAAGCCATGGTTTCCTGAGTTCCGAAGGTATGATATTCAAATTTGGTAGTGGTGTAGGATTCGAAAATTGAAAAATTTTGCAATTTTCGATTCTTGAATGGAATACCCTGTATTTTATTCCATAATCGGTTAGGAATTCTCGTCAAGAATTCAACTATACCGGGTTTGATATGATTATTTCAAAAGAATAGGTACGAAGATATTTGGGTTTGAATATTTCATTTTTCAATAGACTCGGCCGTTACTTGATGGAAATCCATGGCAAATGTAAAAACTTCTCAAACTATGAGATTTCTACAAAATCCTCAATCACACGACATGTTTCTCTAACACAGTAGCTTCATCAGGTGAAATACTGGTGCAAGTTCATTGTACAGGGTGGCCAATTAAGACTCCAGAGTTCGATTTGTCTGTTGTCTTGAGAGATATTGTTATGTTTGAACCCAGTATCAATATGGATACGAATCTGAGGGCAAACATTCAAAAGAAAAATACTTCGATTCTACGAACTGCTAATTTATTACTGAGGAATTAAATCCATATACAGCGAACACCGGGCAAGCATGCAAAAACGTTCGGGTTTTTTACAGCTACAATAGTTCGATACATTTTATGAATAACTGAAATATAAACCATTTCTATACATGAATCTTAATATCTAACACTTCCACCCCTATATTTTACATCACTACCTTATTAATTGACCTACTGAAGATACGCCTAATCTATCGGGTGGGCGTAATTGACTTCGACGTCTGAGAATTTTGGGTGACATCGTACTAGTCTTTTCAGCTTGATTTTCACCTTGGTTACCATCACCATGACAAATATCACTAAGAATTTCTAAATCACTATTTACAATATTTACATCTGTATTATTGTCTGAGGTATCTTGTTCATTTACTTCGGACCGAGGAATGACAGAAACACTCGCTTTTTCTGTGAATTTCGATTTTAGTTGGTCTGAATGTCTTTTCCATATCATTCCACAGTCTGTTTTGACTAAGTAAGTTCTCCTGCCCAAGACTTTATCTATCGATCCAGCGACCCACTTGGGGGTATTTGCCCTAAAATCTTTAATCCACACCGTGTCCCCTTCCAAGAATTGTATTTCTTTATTCCCACAAAAATATTTCCTTTCAGACTCCTGTCTATTTAGAACTACCGATTTGACCGAAGGCAGAAGTAAGTCTAATTTACATCTTAATCCCACACCAATTAGCAATTTGGATGGTTTTTCACCGGTTGTGGTGTGCGGAGTATTTCTATATTGAAATAAAAATCTATTTATTATTAGATGAATGTCTGTACTCGGATTATTGTGTTTCGATTTTATGATGGCATTTTTAACAATTTTTACCGCACTTTCCCCCTGTCCATTTGTAGCAGGGTGATATGGTGCACCTGTACTATGTTTAATTCCACTGGATTTTAAGAAATCTTGGAACTCCTCAGACGTAAAGGTCCGGGCATTATCCGTACATATTTCGAAAGGCAACCCAAACCTTGAGAACATTTCACGAAAAACCCTGATGGTCGTTGTTGAAGATAAGTTTCCTACTTCGAAACATTCGATCCACTTTGAAGTGGCATCTTGAATGACTAAAAACTGTTTCCCAAACAATGGACCAAAAAAATCCGCATGTAGCCGGGTCCATGGTTCGTTAGGCCAGTCCCAAACTACTAACGAATTTTTTTGTGGATTACTGGAGTGCCTCATACACGCTTCACATTTTTTTGCTTCGTTCATAATCTGACTATCCATAGAAGGCCACCAAACATACGAGCGAGCAAATGACTTCATTTTTACGATTTCCATATGTGTTTTATGTATCTCACCTAAAATATATTTTTGTATTCGTTTGGGTACGATTAACCGATAACCCCACATGAGGCACTCTTGTTCGATGGTAATTTCATTTTTTCTGATAAAAAATTGCATGAACTCGTCTGAAGGACATACGGCCGGCCAACCATGGTGTACATAGAAAACTATCTTACTCAATAAAGGATCAACTGCTGTTTCCTTCTTAACCTGGTTAAAATTTATTGGCAGCTTTGCATCATTTTCTAGAAAATTGAAATATGACACATTGGAATTCAAATGTAAGTAAGATATTTTGTCATCAAGAATTTCTTGAATTTTGCAAGGCATTCTTGACAAAAAATCCGCAGTATTGTTTGAGGACGACACATATTTGATTTCATAATCAAATGCGGACAAAATGTGTGCCCAGCGTTGCAGACGATTAGCAGCGAACATCGGTAATCCTTTTTTATCACCGAATATCGATAGCAACGGTTTATGGTCCGTAAATAGAAAAAATCTGCGGCCATACAGGTATTGGTAAAATTTTTTTTACACCAAAAATAATGGAGGCTGCTTCCTTCTCAATTTGTGAATAATTTGCTTCAGCCGAATTTAATAGTCTGGAGGCGAAAGCTATAGGTCTCTCAGACCCATCGTCATAAATGTGACTAATATTTGCACCTAATGCATATTGTGATGCATCAACCGTTAGCTTGACTTTTTGTTTAGGATCAAAATGTGCTAGTACTGATGAAGATAACAATACTTTTTTTGCTAATTCGAAACTTTGATTGCACTCTTGTCCCCAATGCCAACTTACATCTTTTTTCAATAAATTATATAATGGCTTCAGAAGTTCTGATGCATTCGGTATGAATTTACCATAGAAATTAATCATTCCTAGAAAGGATTTTAGTTCGGTTACAGTTTCCGGATATTTAATTTCCTTTATAGCTAGAACCCTTTCGTCGGAGGTATGTAGTCCCTTTCTATCAATTTCGTGACCCAAGTAATTAACTGATTCCTGAAATAGACTGCACTTCTCTTTTTTTACCTTCAAACCACACTCCTGTAACTTTGCAAAATATAATTCAAGCCGTTCCAAATGTTCGCTATCATTTTTCCCTGTGACTAAAATGTCGTCTAAAAAACATACAACCCCAGGAAACACAAATAGCTGATCCATAATATTCTGAAAGATGGCAGGAGCGCTAGTAATGCCATAAGGTAAGCGTGTATATGAGAAAAGCCCTTTATGAGTAGTGATGGTGACAAGTTCGCGTTTCTTCCGTTAGAATTATCTGCTGATACGCTTCCGACAAATCTATTTTCGAAAACTTGTCACCACCCTGTAGTTGGGAAAATAAATACTCTATACGTGGCAGTGGAAAATGCTGAATAATCGAATGTGGATTTAACGTTATTTTAAAATCGCCACATATCCTTATGCTGCCATTTTGCTTTAGAACAGGGACAATGGGTGTTGCCCATTCCGAGAATTCCGTCGGAACTAAAACTTTATTATCTACGAGCCTCTGAATTTCATTCTCTATTTTTGGCTTTAGTGCAAATGGAACAGCCCTTAGTTTACAAAATTTGGGAATTGTGCCCTGTTTCACTCTCAATGAAATTTCAAATTTATTAAATGTTCCAAGGGATCCATCAAAAATATCTGGGTACTTCAAAAGCAAAGCGTTAATCTTGACAGAAGAATTTACTTTGTCAATTTCCTCATTACTGATATTATTGATTTTACATATGCCTAATTTCAACATTTTCAACCCATTTCGTCCTATCAATGGAGGGCCTCCATTTTTGACAACATATGTTTTGAGTACATAAGATTGTTTTTCAAATTTAATATTTAAATTAATAAAGCCTAAAGGTGATAAATCATTTTTCTCTAAAGTTCTATTTTGAAAATGCTTTAAATAAATTTTCTCAGAAATTGCTGAGTGAGCAAAACCAGAATCAGCCTCGAAGCTCATGGGAATATTTTCCACAATCAACTTTACATAAGTGGGTTTGACATTACCCTGATCATCTGAGATATTCGGGCTTATTTCACTCAGATTGAAAATGGACTCATTTTCCGACTGGTTGCCCGCATCAGACAAAAAATTTTGTGATGATTTTCCACACTGTGGGGCTAAATGTCCTTTTACCCCACATTTGTGACAATGACAGTTTTTAAACGCACAATCCTTTGCCACGTGATTACTTCGTCCACAAACTATGCACTTACTTTGAGACTGGAATTTGTTGTTTTTGCTTACGAACTTTTGACTTCCGCCCTGCTTCCAAGGTCCCCCGCTGCTACTGCTGTTGTTGGTACCACCGGTGAGAGGGCGGTGCATTTTGGGCAATGGTGCTTTCCTCTGGCGATGATAATTCATCCCCGCTTCGGTTTTGACCACGGCTCCCGGAGATTCTCTACTACAACGCTCTTTCATAGCTGATTCCTTGTTCAAAGCCAATATGACCACTTTCTGGAGGGTAGTATCAGCATGAGAGGCATCCTCTTCGAATATGCGATCCAGAATCTTCTCATCATTAATGCCGATCACAAACACATCGCGCATCACAACTTCTAGTTCGGTTCGAAATCCGCACTTTGCAGCTAAACTTTTTATTCTGGCTTCCCACTCGGAAACACTTTCATTTAACATCCGACGGGCCGAATAAAACTTGAGTCTTTCCGCGAAATAAGATTTCATCGGTGAAAAATGATCACTAAATATTTTTGTTAATTGCTCATATGATTTAGTTTCCGGCAGGTCCGGTACACACAAATTGCGTATCAATACAGCAATCTTCCGAAAGAGTGTTCAGCAAAATTGCCCTTTTCAACTCCCCTTCCGTGATTTTGTTCGCAATAAAAAACTGCTTGAGTCTTTCATTGAACACAGTAAAATCCGTGTCTTTTGGGTTGAAAGTTGTTAAAGATCCTAAAAGACCCATTGCTGCTGGTGTTGTCATTATTTCACCGATTCAAACACGTGAATAACGTTTTTATAAACAAAAAAAACTTTGCACTACACTCCGAACTAGCTTCACTTCAATTTCGTAAGTTCTTAATAAAACCTCGTCGCCAAATGTTATGTTTGAACCCAGTATAAATATGGATACGAATCTGAGGGCAAACATTCAAAAGAAAAATACTTCGATTCTACGAACTG